GGGGCCCAGCTCTGGCTCCATCTCAGGGGGCCCCAGACCCTGCTCAGACCCCACAGCAGAGCCACATTGCAGAGCTGGGATTCCAAACCCAGGGAGGCGGGGGCCCAGAGGTGGGGGCCCGGACCCACATGGCCACGTTGTAGTGTGACTGGGCTCTTCACAGGACACTGCCCTCACGACTGCTCCCCAGATCTCTAGGCAACCTCTCTTTAGAATCAAACCTCCACACCCAGATACTCAACTCAGACACAGTCACACACTTAAAGACACACACATGCTTAGACAGACATACACCCTGACACACCAAGGACCTCTCACACAGATACACAATCATACCATCAGACACACACGGTCACAACCACACACTCACAGACACAATTACACACAGCGAGACACAGTCACAATTGCACACTCGGACACTAACATGCAGACATACTCTCAACACAAGGGGACAAACATTCCTTTATAGACACATACACTGAACTGCACAGACATACGGACACAAAGATATACAATATCACACATGCACACATGGCCATAGACTGGGTTTGTGAACTCAGGCATCAACATTCAATCGCTACACACCTCTGGGGCATGGCGGTCTAGTCAATGTAGTTAATAGTTCGTGGGACTTTTCTCCTTTGAAAATCTTGGTATATTATTGTATGTGTAAGTGCATGCTGTGTGTGGATGTGTGTGCCATGCATGTGTGGCGCTCAGAGGACACTGTGGAGTTTGCTCTCTCCTCCCACTTTTATGTGGGGTCTGAGGGCCAGGCTCAGTGGCAAGCACAAAACCCTGCTGTAAACCTGTGCATCCATGTGTACCCAGTGGCTCTTGTGTTTAGAGGACACGGCTGGAGCCTCACAGACAGACAAGATGTTCATGGTGAACTGAGGCGGCCCTGTCCGCTGTGTGAGTCAAGGTGTGCTGGGTACCCAACTTGCCCATGTTGTAAGGGGCCCCCACTGCCCATTCTTGGCTGGGTAGCTAGCCGCTTCTCCCCCCAAAGCAGAAGCCAGACACAAGTTGACTGGGCCCTCAGCACAAGGGCTCTGCTCAACACGTCAGGGTGGACCTTTCCCATCAAACCATGGCCTGGAAAGGGAGTGAAGAGGCAGCCCAGGCCCCAGCTCCTCCTTTCTGAAACAAGACCTGTGGGCTATGGGGCTGGAAACCCCCGACTTAACCGGCTAAGCAGGAAGATGTGCTGTAAGCAGCACTAAAGCTAAACCAGGTGCTGCCTTCAGTTCTGGGTCCTGGAGGACCTACTGGCCAACCTACCCTAGGAGTACAGGGCAAGGACGGGACTGCCCCAGAGGGACGGGAAGCTCTGCAGCTCTGACCAGCTCCTGCAGACTGGGCAGGGCCTGGTGGCCCAGAGCCAGGCGTGGGCTCTGGGTGTGGCTGTCAGGGCTTCAGGTGAGAGCGGAGATCCTCTGGGGTACATGAGGAGAACGAGGCGGGGGTCTGTGATGCAGAGGACAGGCAGCAGCACTCGGGCCCTGGAGCTTGCAGACCTGCTCTGCTCCCCTCACGTCTCCACGCCCTTCCTGCCTGCTCACCATCCCCCTCTGGTCCTTCCTGCCAGCTGAACCACACACAAATCTGTCTGGACGGAGGCTTCCTTCCCAGGTCCCCCTCAGTGGGAGCCGGGACCTAGGACTGTTTCCCAGGGCTCTCGCAGAGCCACCCGGCCTCTTCCTCCTCAGCACCCTGAGTTCGAGCTGTCAAACGTGAATGTCTATACTGCTGTCTCTAAGACTCACCCCAACCAGAGAGAAGCCTGGGATGGCGGCCTGGCCTCAGGCTCCCAGACCCCCTAGGCCTGTAGCAACATATGTGTCAGAGACCCCGAGGCTCTAGACAGAAAGAACGGTCCAATTCTTTCTGCACAGAGGACTTTTATTTGGGCTGTTGGAACCACTCTGCCCACTGGGTCTGTGGCCCTGCTGTCTGCTCTATCACGGGTCACAGGCCAAACCAGGAAGGGACATCGGCACGGTAGGGGTCGCGGCTCTGGCTTTGCTCCTGCAGCCGCTTCTCCTCCAGGTAAGGCTCCACAGAACTGGACTCTTTCTCGGGGAAAAGTTCTGGGAAGGTGAAAGTCTGCCCGTGCGCCTAGGGAGAGAAGCGGGGCCTAGTTCAGAGCTCCGAGGTAGCACCTTTTCCATCCAGTTCTCCGGTGACTCAGTGGCTAGTTACCTGCGACCCTGAACCCTAAAAGAGAAAGATGAGCCACCAGTTTCTCTGGTCAGGGTCCCTGCAGGGCAAACATACACCTTACTGGACACAAGCCCCCCCCACCTTTATCTACCAGTGTGTGTGTATGTGTGTGTATGTGTTTGTGTTTTATAGGGACAATGGCTCTTTTCACAGACATTATCTCTTTACTGTGGGTCTGCACCAGCCTGGGGCTCATTAAAAGCAGCCCAGCAAAGGCCCATTCACCAGGCGGCAGCCAGTGGAACTGGGGGCAGGAACTAGGCGCAGAAAACAGGACACAAATGACGTCTGGTGCCATGCTAAAACTTTTTCCATCCAAAATATCTAAAGGCCTTCAGCCACATTAAAGGCTGCCCTCCTCCAGGCTCCGAACTTGGCAAATGAAACGCACACAACGTACACAGAAACCTACATATGCAGCAGTCTATAAATCAAGACCGGCTTTTCAAATTAACTGCTTTTACGTCTTTCACTAGAAGTTCACAGTGTGTCAGCATGGCCACGTCCCAGCCTGGGGCCCCAAGCACGTGGGCCAGCACCAGTGAAGGCCCTGGGAGGGGGAGGGCCGTCAACTCTGCAGGCCCCAAGCAGATACGTGGCTGGGCGGCTCACTTGCTGCTGTTGCCAAGCAGCCAGAGACAGGAGGGGGAGGGGCACAGAAGGACCAAGCCCCCAGCCTCCACACGGGGACACAGGGAACTCGCAACCTGGGCTGCCCTAGTCAGTGCCGTCAGTGGTGACACTAGGCCCGCAAAGTCTCTTGCTTCGTGCATGGGGATGTAGCTCAGTTGGTAGAGTGTTTGCCCAGCATTCAGGGAGCCCCAGGTTCCATCCCTAACACCACATAAACTGGCTGTGGTGGTGCATTAACTCCAAGCCCAGCAACTGGGGAGGTGGAAGCAGGAGGCTCGGAAGGTCAAAATGTTCCTTGGCTACACAGAAGTTCAAGGCCAACCTGGCTTATATGAGACTCTTGCCTCCAAAGCCAGAGAGAGACAGACAGAGAGCGCTGACCACCCATCGCATGGAAACAGCTGATTTCATGGCCACAGGGGCTCAAAGTGACATTTGAACATGCAGGCACAAAGATGGCTCATGCAGGAGCTTGAGAAACAGCGAAGGCAGCCAGCAAGGGGCCAGGTGGCTTCCCTGGGAATACTCTCTAGAGATAATCACCTCATACCTTTAAAAAGTGCAACCTCCCACCCTCCAACGAGGGAGAGCCGGTTCAGAGGGCCCCAAACAGGAAAGGAGAAGAGGTCAGGAGGAGAGGGGAAAGCCAGTCCCAACTCCAGTAATCCCAGGGCCTCGCAGGCCATTGTCGGGCTGGACCGTGCCTGCCCACAGCAGCTGCTCCGGAGCCCAGGGCTCACGGCCTGTATGCACCCCTCTGTCAAATGCTGCCGTGTAAACACGGTCAATGCTCTTTTTGTTATGTGGGTGACTGAGGGCTTGCAAAGGCTCCCTCCCAACCCAGGGCCAAAGAGATGTTTATCAGGTTGTCAGAAGAAAAATGTGGACGCCCACCAAGAGGGACCCGCCTTTCCCCTTCCACAAGTCACAATGAACACCATGGTATAATCTGTCTCTCTAGATGCCCCTTCCCAAGCCTCACAATGCAGTTACCAGAAGCCACCCCCCACAAAGGACACAGACTCGAGGACAGAAGCAGGCCTCTGCAGACGCAGCGGGAAAGTCCCGAACGAGCCGTTTCTTGGCTGGAGTTGGGGGGGGGCGTTACAAATTTTAATTCCTGCTGGGGGAGGCTTGCCGGTGGGGACACGACGGGCCCCCTTTTACCACGATTTCACAGAGGAAGATGAACGTGCCGTAAGGCAGCTGCAGACGCCAGATCTAAGCACGGCTGAGTTTAGCTTTCATGATTGAGGTGGGGCTCAGGGGGGAAAATGGAGGGGCTCAGATGACTCAAAAGCCACTTGTAACCATAGCTGCCTCTGAGGCGACTCGTGGTAAATGCTACTGTGGGATGTCGCCCCGCAGGCCATGACAGAGATGGATGGATGGATTCGACACCCAGGGAGCACACACAGGGATTCGACACCCAGAGCGCACACACAGGCCTCCACAGGGCCTTCTCACCTGTACTGGCTGATTTTATGTACAGCAAATATTGGCCCAGTTTAGAACTGAGGCTCTTTTCTGGAAAAGCTGTCTCCCTCCCTGGATCTTTGAACAAACAGCCTTCCAGCCCAGGCCCCGTGGGAGGCACGTTCCCAACAGCATGACTGCCATCTAGCGGCTGGCCAGGCCACTGGGCTCCCTGGAGGGCTGTTTACATCGAATCTGGAGAAACCAGAGGAACCCCATGTGGGTTTCAAGCAGTGGGACTAGTTAATGGACCCGGCCATGGGGGAGCCTTCCCTGAAAGACCTCACAGAGGCCACAGAGGCCAAGGCCACGGACGCCAGAGGGGGTTCTGCCTGGAGACTGAGAAGCCCCGGGGCACTGGCTGCCTGACGTCTGGTCTTAAAGATGGACCAGGAGAGAGCACATGCTTTACAATGTGGATCTCTCCTGGCAAGTCTGGGTCTCAGTGAATAAAGGTCTGCTCCCTCTCCCAGACCCCAACTGAGCTCAGATCTGGCATCTGTAGCTGCCAAACAGCATGTTCACCTTCCTCTGTGAAACTGCAGTAAATGAGGGCTATGATGCCCCCACCGGCAAGCTCCCCCGGCCGGAATCGACATTTACAAAAACCCCTCGACCTCCTCTGGCTGAGGTTTGGTGCCTGTAGTCCAGCGATCGGTGTTAGGGCTGATGGAATGTAACACCAGAACTGTGCCTCGCAGGTCTGGAACCCCTCACCCTGGAGTGGACTTCTGAGGGAACTCAACTCTGCACCAGGCACTGGAACTGAACAAAGCCAGGTCATCACAGAGCCCTGGCCATCTATGCTCAGACCCTGGTTTCTGCTGTCACCAACACCAGGCTGGGCATGGGACTCTAACACAGAATGAGCAACTGCCTTCGGACTTACTGAGCTCTGCAGAGGTAATCTGGGACCTGGGCTCCTCCTCCCTCCCCAGGTCTCCAGGTCTGGGCCCCAGTGAGGTGGAAAACATTGCACAAACAGCCCCAGGACCCAGATGTGACGAAAAACAGAGGTAGGACTGGGCTCACTCACCAGCTGCACGTAGGCCACTTTGTAGTCGGGTTTCTTGACTCTTACGTTCTTGTGGTCTCTCTTCCTATTCGAACCTGTGGGGGGGGGGCAACGGACCCTGCCTCAGCTCTGAGCCCCGGACCAGCCCCACAATCCAAAACCACCTTCCAAAGAGGCACAGGGGATCAGCCCAGCCCCCATCAATCACCCAGGGGGACACTGCATGGCAGGCCGAGCACCAGGAGTGTTCTGAGCCTTCACAGTGAGAGCCTGAAACCAGTCTCTCTGCTTAAGTAAAAACAACCTTTGAAACCAGAAATAACAAAATAGATTTTAAAAGAATAAGAGGGATCTGTTTGCTCACTGGAGAAATATGAATTCCTGGAAAGGGATTTCTCAGAGGATGGCACTGGCAGCCAGCTGTGGCCACTGGCTCTGCCACTCACAGGCCCGGTCAGGGCTGACCAGAGGAGGGGACTGTAGGTACCTAGTAGAGACCAGCTGAGGGCTGAGAAACTGGTTCAAGGGAGCAGAGAATGTTTAAGGGCTGTAGCCGAAAACAAGGGGGACCTTCTTTGAGCTACAAAGGATGGGGCTTGTGGCAGGTTTCAGGACGGATCTTGCCAGTCCTGCCATGGGACCCCATGTGACTCTGCCAAGTCTCCAACAAGCCCCCTGTGCCTCCATTTCTTCTCATGAACGATGAGTCCAGAGACACCATGGAGCGGCATGGGGCTACGGCCTAGAGGGCCACCACCAGCACAGGCACTCACCGTGCTGTACCCGAGTGCGGACGGCAGCTACAGGCACGTTGTAAATATGCTCAAGGTAATTCTTGAGGTCCACCCTGGTCATCCTGGGTTAAGCAGAAAGAAAACAAGACTAAGCCCAGCAAGACAGAAACCCGACCAAGGGTAACGGTGAGGGTCCTGCCGTAGCCTCAGTCAGACGGGACTAGGCAGACCTCAGCCCCAGAGCTGTTTCTCTCCAGACACCAGGGCAATGCAGGGCATTGGCACTGTGACTTTTAAAAAATATTTTATTTTTATTTTATGTGTATGAGTGTAGTGCCTGCATGTATGTGAGTGCACCCATGTCATGCAATGCCGCGGAGGTCAGAAGAGGACTTCGGATTCCCCTGGAACTGGAGTTAAGGACGGTTCGTAGCCACCATGTGGGTGCTGGGAATCGAACCCAGGTCCTCTGCAAGAGCAGTCAGTGCTCTTAACCGCTGAGCCGTCTCTCCAGCCCCAGCAGTGTGACTTATCAGCCTAGTCAACCTGATCCCTCTCCTCACCCTGGGCTGTAGGGTGCTGTCTACTTCCAGCCTGAGCTCCTGCCTGACTAGAAACCTGTTATCCTGGCCTAGGAGGCACTTGCCACACAGGACTGGCAAGGACTTGGTGGGTGAAGCCCACATTTACATTCAACACAGCCCTGGTTATCTCAGCTGTAAGGCCTCCTCAGCCTTGTCTATAAGGCTGGATGGACCTGACCCAGCATCTACAGAGACCTACTCCTGTCCCCTCCCCACCCTTTGCCCTATCTTGAGCTGGTTCGTGAGACTTTTTGGACTCAGAGCAGTATCAGGCAGCTCAGGTTAAGGGACTGTGGATCTCAGGCAGAGTGAGGCAAAGAAGTCAAGACTGACATTCTCGAAGCCCTGTAAATCTCAGCATGCTCCCAACCGAGCCTCCGGGGACGCCTTTCCTGGGAAGAGGATTGAGGCAAGAATTCGACAAATCTCAGGCTCTCAGTTAAGCTATCCCCAGGTGGAGGGTGAGCCAGGAAACCAGCCAAGAGTGGCCCTGCTCCCTGAAGCTCTGCAGACACCAGGCCCTTCCACCATCCACCGAGCAAGCAGAACAGCCCCAGGTCTCTCCACAGGAGGAAGAGCCTGACCAAGGGGAGCCAAGCTAAGAAACATGCCAGGACCCACATTCCAAGACAGTGCTCCCCAGCCCCCAAATTCCTTTAGGGTTTACTTACTCCATGGGGATCCGAAACTGTACAGTATCCTCAGGTTGGGCCGTGCCAGGCCGCACCAGTTGGATGAAGAAGTTAGTTCGGAACACTCGGAGCTGGGGGCCGCCCAGCTGGTACAGGGGGTATCTGCTCAGGGGAGATTGGGGCCTGTTATATACACACACAGTGTGGCAGGCGAACGCACCCACTCACATCAGCAGGGCCAAGAGAGGCTGGGGGCAGGTGTGCGTGAGTGTGTGGTCCCAGAGCCTGTTCCCACTGCGTGGTCTGACCAGGGTGGGTGGCAGGTCCCCCAGCACCACCTCAGGGGTGCAGAGGCTTGTGCTACGACTGTAGGTAGCTACACAGGCCTGCAGAAAGAACCAAAGAGCAGCTACAGAAACTGGAACTGACGCTCTGGGTGTGGCATGGTAGCAGGGCACTTTTCCCAGTTCAGGAAGGAGTGAGGGATAAAGGGCAGGAGGGTCCCACAAACAGGCTGGTGGTGGCATTCAATTTGAGTGTCACCCCCCCCCCAAGAGAGCAGACCCAAGACCCCCCAGTTCTGTGTGTGTTTCTGTGTCTGCAGTCAGGGAGAAGGGCCCCACTGTCTCCCCCCACACAGGAGGGGCCTCACTTTCTGTGAAGGCTGGGGGTTGGGGAAGGCAGTGCTTCCAACACAGGATGCTACATGCTGGCAACACCTTCCTGGACCCCCAAACCACTTAAACTGGTAGACAGAGGTAAGGGGCTCCAATGGCCGCTGCTCCCCACCATCCTCACGCCTGCAGACAACCAAAACAGAATCTCTGCCTGGTGGTCTTACACACCTCACAGCCCAGCTGGGTAGACATGCAGGAGGGGAAGAGCCGCTTGAAGTCTGTGGAATCTCTATAGGGGTGCATGGTCTATGGTGCCCAGGGGGAGGGTAGGTATACAGGATTACCCAGAGTCTCTGATCAACATGAAGCACACCATGAGGGCCCACACCTGGCAGCATCCAGCCTCATGTTGGAATACTCTGTGAGCCCTTCTATGATGATCTAACTTTGGGAACAGGCACACTGGCTCCCTAAGGCCAGGGAGCACCAGAGGAGCCTCAGGGCTGGCAAGACGGCTCTGTGCACCCTGATGGGCCCCTCAGAGGCAGGTCCCCATGGCTAAGCTTTTACCTAGCTCAGTGGCTCATAGTGACTGTCCAGTGACCAAGTTCATACACTGTGGCCAGGCCAGAGGGCCAAGTTTGCGCTATAGAGGCCACCAATGATGCCTTGTAGGCAGGACCCTGGGCTCCATGCCCACAGGAACAGGAGGCAAGGAGGTCCAGGAGAGGCCCTGAAAGAAGGAGCCTTGATTTACTATCAGTCGGGGCCAACTGTGTTACCCAAGGGGGCCTTACATTCCCCACAGTGCCCAACTGTGGCACAGCGAGGGTAAAGTTGGGGCATCTCCTTAATGGTGGAAAAAGGGTGGTGGAGTGCGTCACTGAATCCCCAATCTCTGAGGCTCTGGGACTGGGGCCTCTGTCCAGGCCTGTCCTACACTGACTGCCAGGCCCCATCCCTAAGCTGCTGACTCCAGCTTGGAAACCCTACTGCCCACAGCCACATCAGGGTCCCCGTCACCCCTCACCGGGGCCTCGATGTCCTTTCCCTTAACTGCTACCGTCTACGTTTTACAAACACCCTGAAGTTAGCCTATCTCCAGTAGAACTCTGCTCCTCTGTCCTCGCCGCCAGGGCTCGTGACCAGCCTTGCCTCCCAGGCTCGGGTCTCATCTGTGATGCACCCCGCAGGACCCCCCGACAAGTGGGTCCCACCAGCTCCCTCCAAAGCCAGGGGCTGAGCACCCTGGGACCAACGCTGGTCTTGCCTCACACTGCCCTGGTGCTGAGAGCCTTGTTCCCAGCCCCGGTTCCAGAGTCTACAGTGACGTCACATGTGTGCAACCCCTGCAGTCTTCTCCCCAGCTCTGTGGATCCCCGACCCCACCTCCATTGAACCTCCCCCCGCCGCAGTCTCGTTAGCAGAGCGCGGACAGGGCCCATCCAGAGTCACGTGCGCACCGCGCACGTGTTTCCTGCTTAGACTTCTGGCTGGGGTCTTGGGCCTGGGGTGCCACGGACTCGGACGGTCGGGGTCTAGCGCGGGCTGTGACTGACAGCCAGGGCCTGCCGCGGGGACACTGCGGGGACGCCAGCCGTTCCCGCTTCCGGTCCGCGGCCCCGCGCCCACCCGGCCCCGGCCCCAGCGGCGACACTACTCACAGCACATTCCGCGCCATGGTGGCCGCACTTCGCGGGCAGGAAGGAGCGACGCCCGCCCCGCACGGCGCCCGCGCTGGCACAGCGCCCCCTCGCTTCCGGAGGCCGCGCGGCCCCGGGCCCTGCACCGCGGGGCCCCGCACTCCCCGCGCACCGCA